GGGCTGCCGAAAGGGGAGCAGGTCCCTTCACTTGGATCAAAGAACACTCAATACACAGTTGTTGACTGAATAAATGCAAGAACAAATGGGAATATTTGTTGCAGGACTTCGCAACAGGAAGATAGATGTGAACATTTGACAGTTTTCCCAAGTCTCTGGACTCTAACTTGAACTCCAGCCTTTGGATGCTGAGGCTTGTCCGTTCATTCTTGCAATGTGTACTCTGTGCCACTGAGCACAATCATTATTACACATCCGCAAAAAGAAAAAATATAGTGTTGCTTTAAAGAGATAAATCCTCCAAAGGCTTAGAGTCAAAGATGCCCTGTCTATCTCAGCAGAAACTCGGGTCTTTTTAAAAATAACATCAGTATGCATTCTCTGAAAATTTTACATATGTATACAATTTATTTCAATCATTCCCTCTACTACTACCTCCCTCCAAACTCCCCCGATGCTGTTTATCTCATCTCCCTCCCAACTTTATGTTGTCTCTCTCTTTTTTAATAATTTAGAGCAAATAAAAACTTTCATTTAAACTTAAATCGAAATTCTGGGATGTTTCTGATCCACATTCATATATTACCAACACCCCCGCACACATTCACAGTGGAGTGTACACATACACACACAGGGGGAGGGAGAAGAGAGAGAGAGAGAGAGAGAGAGAGAGAGAGAGAGCACAATAATTTTCTGTTTCTTCTGAGTAAAATGTCAAAGCAAAACAAATAATTCACGGGGGAAAGTTAATAAGTTTTCCAAGTTCTTTCAGTTAGAAATTCAGAATTCTAGTAGCTGTATATAAAGATATCTCTATTTCTTTTTCAAACATCATGTGCATAATTTAAGGATTATCTTAAGTCTCCTGCCAAGCATGTTTCTCAAGCCTGGTGTTACTATGAGGAGAGGTTCAGTTTGTCGGTGATGCCTTTGAGTAATTATCTAGAACAAAGTAATGAACTCCATTTCATAGTTTAATATCATTCCCATCGATATACTTCTTATTTTCCTTTTTGTCCATCGAAGAGAGAAAAGCAGAGGGATTTAATTTGATTTACAGGGGAAAAACAACCCTAAATGTACTTTTTTTAGTCGGGGGATGGGGCAAGGAGACAAGGCCAGCCAGCTGGTTTCCATCTATCCGCCATAATTCTCTGTTTAGTTTACACTATTAAACTCCAGCGCTGTGCTTTCATCTTAACTGTTATAGTATGCCTTATTGCAGATTCTAGCATGTCGCATCCTGATAGGGTTTCAGACTTTGGCAAAGCACCATCCCTCACATTGGTCGTTGCCATATGGGTATAGTAAATGCATCCAGCATTTTTTCACTGGCGCCTGCATCATTATGTTTTGCCACCACTGCTTTCTTGGGTTTTACAGCAAATCTCTGTGGATTCGATGGTTTGAAGGTATCAAGAGGATCTATGTTGACTTGTACACAGCCAGGTCCCAGTTAGGACCTCCTAGTCCTGTAGATGACCTCACATCTGTTTGTTGGAGGTGGCAGGGAGGTAGTGGGAGTAGAAAAGCCACAAAGAGAAAAGAGCTGAATGCAAGAGCAACTAAGGCCAGGCAAACTGGAGCACGCATGAACCCTGATGAATGAGGAGGGTTGAGGAGTCTGACCTACCTGATCTGTCTTCGTTTTGTGAATCACATCTTCTGCACAGTTCTGGGATGGTCTTGAGAGATGTGACTGAATACTGAATGGGAAGACAGAGGGAGAAGAGTTAAACAGAGATTTAAAATAAAGGCATTCATTCAACTCGTCCAGAATTAAAAAAAAAAAAAGATGAATACAAGGAGTGAGGCTTGAGTACAATAGACGCATTCAGGAAGTGGACCCCATTGTGAACTGACAGCATCCTAAGTTCTACCAGTGAACATTTCAGCAGACAGCTTAGAGAGAAGCCTGGTGGCTTTTATTATGCATCCGGAAGCTATTCTGTCTCTCATCATTTCAAACTGAAATATAGTCAGAATTATTGAACCTTGAATAGTTCTAGGAGACACTATTTGTTTCCTCAACCTTAAGAGCTAGCTACAAGTGTAAAAAGCCTAGTGAATGAGCATTAGGCTACCTCAACATCCAGGGGAAAAGAGACTTATCTGTCCTGGTGTGGACCATACTACATAAATCCCAAAGCTGGGGCGATGGCTCAATGGTGAAGAGCATTTACTGATCTTTCAGAGAAGACTGGCTCCATTCCCAGCATCCTCATGGTGGGCCACAATTATCTGTAGCTTCGATTCTGGGGATCCAACACCCTTTAGGCCTCTGCAGATACCAGGCACTTCTGTGTACTGCACACTCATACACATAAAATAAAATAAATATATTTTTGTTTTAGGTCTAAATAGTTACAGTGTGCTGCAGATTTTACTGTGCCTCCATGGCAAATACAGAGATTATGTCATTAAGCAAGAGGAACATTAGTGTGCTTGAAAGTTCTTCTCTTCCATAGATTAGTTTGGAAGGAAAGACAGCCCCTTTTAGTCTCTGTCATAGCATCAAGCTCAGGGCTGGCTATCAAGATAACAAATTATGACACTGTAGGCACAAAAAAACATGTAAAAGCAATAGCTGTGATTTATGGGATCTACATTTGATACCCATCAATTTGTCTTGAGAGAAGGATGTGCTCAAACAAAATAAATAGAATAGAATGAAGCCTTTAATCAAAGGTAAGTCAAAGACTATCTACAGTCATGCTCACACTGTAATCCATAAAACACATTTTTCTCAAAATGTTTCACTCTGTGTCTCTAAGAACAAAAGCACATTTCATGAATTACCTCTCCACTGCAAAATCAGAGGCAACTGAGAAAAAAAATAATTCAATCTAAAAGAAAAATGACCAGGGGAAACCCATTAGTATTATTCTAGCATCACAAGTGAGGACTGTATAATTATAATGCATTTTTCAATACAAAGGTAATT